TAAAAAAAAAGGTGTAGTCTTACACTTTTTATGCAAACCAATGTTATAAATTGATCTTGCGCCGAGTAGTCCCCAGTTTCTGATATCCGGGTCTAACCTTTGTTTCATTCTGCGAGACTGGGTGAAAAAATAGTCTATAACGTGCACTTTATATCACAAGGTATGTCTGGATCTTTTAAACCTATATGGAGTAGGATGGATTAGCTCCAGCTTCCCCGGTATCCCTCTCATTCTAAAGATATAAGAATATACCATATTATGTTCGTCCATAAAAGGCCTAATTTGTGTTACATGGAGGCATATCTCTCTCTCTCTCTCTCTCTCTCTCTCTCTCCTCTCTCTCTCTCTCAAACATGTCCCGGCTCTCATTACAAATAAAAATCCAATGCTTATGCTAATGCAGTAGTAATATTAAATAGTCTGTTTTTGGTAGATTAAATAATCATTTTAGACCAATTATAGGGTTGAAAGCAAATTAACTTTATAATTATTTACAGCAGGGACTTTTGTCACAGAGGTTTAATTTCTATATTCAAGATTTTTTTCTTTCAATTTTGATCAAATTGGAAAAATAGACAATTAAATTCGAATTAAAGCACCGAATCAGTTACCCTAGGGTAAAGGTCAATAAAACTGGTCTAAATAACCACGCATTTAAACAGTCATTAAGTCACTTCAAGACAGATTAAAATGAGCAAATGAAATTAAAATACTGTCTTATGAAACAACTTGTATTGTTTTATGAACTTAAATCACAAGGAAACTGAAGTAGGTCGTTATCGCATCAGGTTTTTCAAAGTTTTGACTGAAAAAACTAATTCTCGGTTGACCTTAAGCTGTCTGTATAAGGTCAAACTATATCTAATGCTAAAATATATTTTTGTTATAGTACCTGATTGACGTGTTCAAAAAATATTATTTATACTCAATCTTCAAAATAGCACTGTTTATATAAAACAAAATTCAAATTATGCAAATAGGTCAACTGAAAATAAATTTTAGAGAATCAACCCATATCAACCCCCTCTTGATCGGAGCGAGCGTGGCAACACGGGTCCGTCATTACCTGCTTGTCATCATCCCAGCAGTACCCGGAAGGTTATTATTTTTATTACTTTTTCCCAGAATTTACGCCTCGAATAGTCATTATACACTGTATACACTTTGGCATCTGAAAAACAACTAAATTATTATCCAAAAACATTTTAGTGACATATGGAAAAGATTTAAGAATTCTTACCAAATTGTTACTTTGTGTACTATGTAATAAAGAGGTTAAATGGCAATTTACGCTTGATACGAAAACCATTGAATCTTTAGATTTCATTAATTAATTTTTGGTATTTGTAACATGCAGATGCTAAAAGATAGAATACTCTAACATACGCAATATGGTATCAAGCAGCAAACACATTAGCAAAATCCCAAATGTGAGTTATCAGTTAGGGGTCCGATTGGACCCCATGTTCCCTTCAAGCATTGGGCCTGATTTGTAAGTAACATAACTCTGCGTGTGGGAAGCAGATGAATACCGATCAGCAAACACGTTAGCAAAATCCCAGACGTGAGTTATCAGTTAGAGGTCCGATTGGACCTCATGTTCCCTTCAAGCGTTGGGCCTGATTTGTAAGTAACATAACTCTGCGTGTGGGAAGCAGATGAATACCGATCACTTTGCTAAGTGTAAAAATATATAGGAGACAAAGTCATTAAATTTCAGAGAAAAGTCCCCAGTAGTTATTACAAAACACTAAAACACTATGAAACATGTACATGGAGACCCCACGTACGCCGACAAGGGTTAATATCGTACTGATCGAGAAAAAATGGTTTAAATACAAATAGCAAAATTTATTTCTTATTATACGCACTACACCATAAAAAACAATCTCAATGTGTAGTGCAAAAACATTTAATAGAATGTCAAAAACTAATAGCAATACTAGTGTAAGTGAATCATCCAATGCAGTGTTATCGGAAAATATGTGTTTTGAGGTGTTTATTGAAGGAGTCGAGGAGGGAAGCATTGCGAATAGAAAGAGGGACAAAATTCTGCAGTGGAGGGGCAGTATTAGCGAAGGCACGCTTGCCGTACGTCACTTTGAGGAGGAACGATCGCTCTGGCTGAACAAGAAGAATCTTGGCTGAAGAGCGAGTGCGTCTATGGGGAACTCTCTGTGTTACAAGACCAGAAAGATGGTGCTAGCAGATTGGGATATTTATAAGTGAAAGTGCGCCTGAGGTTGTGATGAATTTATGTGCTCATTCTTACGAGTGCGCGTCATGAGTCGTGCGTCAGAGTTTTGGATAGATTGGAGAAGTTTAGTTAGAGAGCTAGGATAGAGGTCAAACAAAAGACTATTACAGTTTAGGGTTTGATTGTGGAGGGAGTGAGGGGTGCTCCCGATCAAAAGATTAGCGCAATTAAAAAAAAGATGTGTAGTCTTACACTTTTTATGCAAACCAATGTTATAAATTGATCTTGCGCCGAGTAGTCCCCAGTTTCTGATATCCGGGTCTAACCTTTGTTTCATTCTGCGAGACTGGGTGAAAAAATAGTCTATAACGTGCACTTTATATCACAAGGTATGTCTGGATCTTTTAAACCTATATGGAGTAGGATGGATTAGCTCCAGCTTCCCCGGTATCCCTCTCATTCTAAAGATATAAGAATATACCATATTATGTTTGTCCATAAAAGGCCTAATTTGTGTTACATGGAGGCATATCTCTCTCTCTCTCTCTCTCTCTCTCTCTCTCTCCTTTCTCTCTCTCTCTCAAACATGTCCCGGCTCTCATTACAAATAAAAATCCAATGCTTATGCTAATGCAGTAGTAATATTAAATAGTCTGTTTTTGGTCGATTAAATAATCATTTTAGACCAATTATAGGGTTGAAAGCAAATTAACTTTATAATTATTTACAGCAGGGACTTTTGTCACAGAGGTTTAATTTCTATATTCAAGATTTTTTTCTTTCAAATTTGATAAAATTGGAAAAATAGACAATTAAATTCGAATTTAAGCACCGAATCAGTTACCCTAGGGTAAAGGTCAATAAAACTGGTCTAAATAACCACGCATTTAAACAGTCATTAAGTCACTTCAAGACAGATTAAAATGAGCAAATGAAATTAAAATACTGTCTTATGAAACAACTTGTATTGTTTTATGAACTTAAATCACAAGGAAACTGAAGTAGGTCGTTATCGCATCAGGTTTTTCAAAGTTTTGACTGAAAAAACTAATTCTCGGTTGACCTTAAGCTGTCTGTATAAGGTCAAACTATATCTAATGCTAAAATATATTTTTGTTATAGTACCTGACTGACGTGTTCAAAAAATATTATTTATACTCAATCTTCAAAATAGCACTGTTTATATAAAACAAAATTCAAATTATGCAAATAGGTCAACTGAAAATAAATTTTAGAGAATCAACCCATATCAACCCCCTCTTGATCGGAGCGAGCGTGGCAACACGGGTCCGTCATTACCTGCTTGTCATCATCCCAGCAGTACCCGGAAGGTTATTATTTTTATTACTTTTTCCCAGAATGTACGCCTCGAATAGTCATTATACACTGTATTGCTTCTTTAACGACGGGGAAGGAAGCGATGAACTGCCATGCTTGCCCACTCCCTAACTTAACCAAACATTTTCAAAATAATAGAACCAACTATTATAGAATGAATTTTTAATTTAAACGTCCAGTAGTAGCTATATTCAGATACCGTTCTCCAGCGTTTGCTTCGACATAATTAAAGGTGCCCGCTTTATTAAAGGGTGTATAGCTCTATTCTTTGGAACCTTAAATCAACCGAAAATATGTATCAAAGCACATATTATTATATAATATGAATGTGAAACATTTTTTTCAAATTAAATGAACTTTGTAACTGAAGGAATTTCAATTTGAAATGGTATTAAGTGTTTCAGAAAGGATAAGCATGCCCTTGTCCTTACACCGCACATTATATATTCCAAGTTATGATTAATTTTATATACAGTATAACAGGCTTGTGGCTGCTATTGTTACCGATCTGTTTGGTCCAAAATATATTTTTGTTTTATCATACTCGGCATTTCGTTTAACATAAATACAGTGTCGGCTATCGCACGCGATGCAGGGTATGCTTATCCTGTCATGAACACTTTTCATGTCAATTGTGCTCGGTAAATATTTACAAAATAAATGTACATCCATCCATTTATGTATGGCTGTATGGCCACTCTAACTAGTTCATGACATCATCATCCCCCCCACCTTCCCCTCTCCCAACGAGGGAAAAAAACAAAACCAAACCCATATTCAAAATAATATAAAAAGAATGATCTAAACAATTCATGATATAAGATATGATATGATATATCGGTAGATATAACTGATATTCACCTGACAATTTTAATTATGAAAATCTTGTTAAATAAAAATAACAACTAGGGGTCAGCACAAATATAAATCTGCGAGGAAAGTACGGATCAATAAAACAACTTATTCATATTGTTACAATAACATGTAAAACATAATTATTGTATGCTGACTTTCTTTTATAGTACATGATAAAGTGAGTCATGAGGTTGGAATAGATCGGGCGGAATATGTTCTGTGCCAACAATTCCAATAGTACGTTAAAATTTACAATACTAAATACATATCCTATCCAAGTTGACTATGGTCCGCTCTGGGAATACAATCCCCGTACATTGATTCGTTCTTGATGCGTGTCGAATCGCACGCGGGGGGCAGAACCCCCTATAGCCTTGATCGATAAGACCTGTAGAATCTAAGGTACTGGATCCTGTTTATAGTACAGATTGATCTGTAGTCTCGAAGGACCAGTGTAAACGATTGAATGACAGTGTTAAGGTGTTAATAAAGGCTGGGGTTAGACACGCCATGGATATTATGTTAATCAATGTTTGATATCGGCGTTTAGAGAAGTGATATTACTCTTTTAACTTCTGATGTTTGAACCATAACACAAGTCATCATTGAACCATTGCCGTCCAGTTAGATACCATATATCCGGGATATAATTAATACTTGAAATAAAAGGAAGCTGTGAATTTATAATATTACTGCTATCTGACTTCAGTTCGTTACAACATAATATCAACACTTAAGATATCAAAGGTAGGATTTTTTATAATATAATATATTGTGTAATAACTCTTTACAGAACATTCGATGTCACCTTATATTTATTTCATGAGTTAATAGAAAGGCACCTGAATATAGGTTTTGTTTTGGGGTTTACAATGCTTTACTGGTGTCTTTCGTGCCATTGCGGGTAGTTGAGATGATTTTGTAATAATTATAACTTATTGTTGAGGAAATTAATTCTTTTTATATCACAATGCCGTTAATCCTTCGCAAAAGCAACCTCCCACGTTATGAAATCGTTGTAATAGAAAAGGCTCTTCTGATTAACGCTTTTCACTTTTTCACCCTACATATATTTATTAAGCTTTGATATAATATTATATTTATAACCATGCATATTTCCTATGGACCGTACTAAAACCATATTTAAAGGGGTGGGTTCGACAATGACTTACAATTTTATCTCACCCTTTGTATTATTGAATTTAAAAAGCGTATGCTAGAACATTTGATACAGTCCCTCGTTTGCTGAATTCACATAGCTGACAAATATTGTTTGTACTTTTATACAATATATTTTATATGGTATAAACAACTGCAAAAGGCTACTAGCAGTTTATTAATATTTACAAATTACAGCAGTTATATAACAGCTTATATTTAAATTTAGAAAATATCATAAAGAAAATGGGGTAAATTCAACCAGAAATGAAATGTCATTGGTTTTATATTACGATATATTAAATACTAATTAAATCTTGACTCTCCTAAATATGAAAAATACAAACCCTGTCATGTGAATAACTGTTTCTTCTGCTGTACCACTGGAGACATATTCCACAGCGGATTTATTTCGTATTTTAGGATCTGATTGACGGAACGTTCTCGAATATTGAACACATTCTAACATCGACATATTGAATATACATAAATGGTGTTTTTTAATTTTTGTATACTGTTCGGCAATAATACTTTTTTGTTGGCAACTTTCGCAGGTTTTATTACATTTTGGATGATGGTTAATTATAATTTACCAACTAGAAGCAATACTTCCTGTTTTTCTGAAATTAATGAATTGATAAGTTACTAAACTAACAAGATTTTACAAAACGACCAATGGTCATATTTTAAGATGATATTATTACATTATTGTTTTATAGTTTAGATATAAGTAACGATTGGTGTCATGCACACTGTTTTTTCGCTAAGACAGCAAACCAATTTGTAGAGTAAATAAAAAAACGATAACGTTTTGTGTGTGTGTTTTTTTTTTTTTTAAAAAACCCAATTGTTTTAAAATCATGTATATTGATACATTATAAAGAACTCATAAACAAACGTATAAGATTCTATTAATTCGAATACAAGAGAAAGGGTGTGAATACTTCATGTGATGCAATATGTAGAGAAAAATAGTTATACTGTTTCAATACATATACGTATCACCTAGATTTGAGAATATAAAAGTTTTTTTTTCAAAATTACGAAAACAGACATTCCATTCAATTTATCACCCAGTCCAGTTCCCTCAATTTCAACTCATTTTAAAGGAGGAAATGAAAAAGCCCAGCAAAGCCCATTGTCAACAAATTCGGACATTATTGGACATTATTAAACAATGTTTAGACTAAGGAGCAATATTTTATTCAGATTTGTATCTGAATAGGGATTGTTCCCCAATCCCTATTCAGATACAAATCTGAATAAAATATTGCTTATAAAAAAGACTAAGGAACAAAACATATCGGGCAAGTCTCTTGTATATCAGTGCTACTGCATACGTAGAAATATACACGTAATGCGCTTATTTATCCAAATACATGTACAGATTAAAATAAATAGAAACCGTATCCATTGTGTTAAAAAAGAAATAGAAATATGTATAGCAGAGATTAATATCGAAATAACAGAAATGTCGTCAATAATTACTAATTTAAAAGAAATATCTGATGAATACAGTAGCTTCTTTTAATAGCTTCATTACATAGTGACATCATCAGTGGCGAACAACCCAATTTCACACACCCTTATAACAATGATAATGTTTTTTGAGAGAATACAAAGTGGCCGGGTATCCAATAATTATGGCGTAAGGTGTGTTTTTTTTGTGTGTTTTGGGGTTGTCGGTTTTAGGGTGTGGGTGTGGCTGTGGGGTCTGCTAATATTTAATAAAATATTTAGTACAAGTTTGATCCGTTATAAGCTTGTTCATAACTATTAATGCTCTTATTTCCTATTTTTAACGGGGGTTGGATGGCCGAATGGTTAGCACGTGCGCGCTGTATCATAGGGTCTGTCCGTGAGTCATCTGGCGTGGTTTCGATTCCCCGGTTGTACGTGACAAGGAGTAGGGTCCCCTGTCCAACCTCGGGGTTTTTCTTTAGGTCCTCCATTTTCCCCCCACTGCAAAGACCCCCTAAGCGCAAGCGAATCATTGAAATAAAATTGAACCATATGTTAGTCCTGAAATGACCTAGTTTGTGTCGAGTGGACGTTAAACCCCATCTCTCTCTCTCTCTCTCTCTCTCTCTCTCTCTCTCTCACTCACGAAGTGCTGTATTGATTGAATATAGTCAATAGCTTACTTTTTCAATTTTAATCCCATTATGGAGAAGATGTGTAAACCAGCTAATTCTTCATAATGTTTAAACTAAGTACTTTATAATGACTTAATTTATAATCAAATATATTTTAACCAATTCATTAATAAAGAAAACGCAGCATTAAAAAGGATTTTAAATGAATAGTATCAGTTTTATATGGATATAAATTGAATATTAATGTATAATTTATTGGGATCAATTAAATTGATTATATTGTACCACATCTGCGTGACACCATATATGTGTGTTATTGTGTAAGTTTATAATGCGTTGTTTTGTAAATGACATTCACAGTTCGTGAGTGGAGGTGATCAGTTATTAATTTTCTAAATGGAAAAGGCGAGACGTCTTTGTAAAAAAAAAAAAATAAATAATAATAATTTTAATATTGATTAGGGAGTAGAGCTGGGGCTATGTATATTAATACGTAAAATAATAACAAATCTCTATGTATGAAAACCAGACTGAGAGAGAGAGAGAGAAATGGGGTTTAACGTCCACCCGACACAAACTAGGTCATTTCGGGACTAACATATGGTTTAATTTTATTTCAATAATTCGCTTGCGCATAGGGGTCTTTAGCAGTGGGAGGAAACCGGAGGACCCGGAGAAAACCCACGAGGTTGGACAGACGACCCTACTCCTTGTCACGTACAACCGGGGATTCGAAACCACGCCAGTCGACTCAATGACAGACTTTATGATACAGCGCGCGAACGCTAACCATTCAGCCATCCAACCCCCCGAAAACCAGACTGACTGACACAATTATTTAAATATATCCAATAGCTATCACCTTTCATTAGAATTTACATAATGCACGTATTATAATTACATCAGTATACTGAAAACGCCTATTAAAATGAATAGGATAAACAATGAAAGTACGATATATTACATATGCATACTAAACAAGTTTATCAATGGAAGTACTAAACCACGTTATTTAAATTAATAGTATAATCAATGAAAGTACGATAAATTATATCGCTATTATGAAAAGGTGCATTTAAACTAATAGTATACAATCAATTAAAGTGTGATAAATTACATCAGCATACTGAAAAAAGTACGTTGAAATAATAGTACATGGCTTTTAAAATTTAAATTTAGTCATCTACCCATCCATTTATTCATTCATATGTATGGAAAGAAGTAAAATTTTGACAGAGTAGCGCCATCAAAGTTTTGCGTCTAGGCTGTATAGTTTGTGCATCTCAAGCTCTTATATATTTACCCACGGGTTCAGCTATTCGGGTAAATCTGACATTGTTCACCAACGTCATAAATTATCGCCATAATCGATCAATTGTCGCTGTTGATGTAGTCATGTACAAATAACCGTGAAATGATTTTCCCCTCTTGTTCAAGTGTTGATGTGTCTGTAACAAAAGGCTAGCAACCGTACGGACAAACACGCAAATTCTTAACAATGACTCTTTCCGCCATTTCAATAGTGACATCAAAACATAATTACTGCGATACAAGACGTGAATTAGTCGAGTGGCGGTTTTCATAAAGCCAAGATCACACCCCTGTAATTAGCACTCATAACTCAGTCCGACTCGTGATTCGATCCATTCAACATTAGATCTAATGGCCGTCAAATCTAATAAACTACCGATTTCCCGAAGTTTATCAAATTTGTTTTATCAAGCGGAAATAGAGAGCAGACGTTAACACTGTAGTATTGTGGGTAATGTGAGGAAACGTCAGTAATCACGAGATTAGCGCGTGAAATTAAAGTGTGTGCTTATTAAATATTAAATGTTTGATATTATTTCTAGATAATGTTCTCTGATAGACATTAGTAGAAGCATTAACTGGAAATAAAATGATTAATAAATCACTAGGTGCAAGAAAGGACAAAAGTGCGATGCTACATGAGAATTAATAGAGTCGTATGATATGGTAGATACCATCTATAGTTTAAACATAATATAATTAAAGTCAATTATGGAATCACCTACCCTATGCTACAATAATTAATCATCCCATTCGGTTTTTTTTGTTATCGGTCTAAACATCTATATATGTATTTGACAGTTTAAAATAGGAAGAGCCAGCTCACGTGGAGCAGGTATGAAAATAAATATGATTCAGTCATATATAACTTTGTTATGGAAAAATAATGTCGAATGAATGGTATTAATTTAAAATAACAGTCCATTAATTCAATTTCAGAATTAACAACAAAACAACTATGTAGTTTACAAAGTGTTACAATCTGTATAACTTCATTTCTGTACATAACAGGTTTATATTACATTATGATATATTGCTGTACACTGTAGTACAGTGTGCTATATTACTTGTGCATTATATTACTGTTAATGCACGCTATATTACAGTATGTTATATTACTGTACACTATATTACATAATGTTATGTCACTGTACATTATATTATTAATAATACTGTACATTA